TGCCCCAGCCAGTCCCTCACACGTCGGGGTAGCCACAGTAGTAGACGGCGCTGCTGGCGTCTGAGACGGCCGAGGAGATGGGACCCGCGCCGTCGGGCGCCGCCAGCCCGGCCGCGTCGTGGCCGGCGAAGGGCAGCCCCAGCTCGGGCTTGCAGGCAAAGCGCAGGTACTGCTCGAACTCCGTGCGGTCCACCTCGCCCAGCAGCTCCTCGGGCGGCAGCTGCTCCAGCTGCTCCCGGCACGGCGCGGCCTCGGGCGGCGGGGACGGCTGCCCCACGGGCCCCGGCGGCAGCGGCGGCGGGCCGCGCCCCGGGCCGGGCGGTTGGCACGCCTGCCCGTAGTACGCGTGCAACGGCGCCGGGCAGCCCAGCAGCCCCTGCAGCGACCCGCCCGGCCCCAGCGCCTCGCCGGCTGCCAGGTGCCGCCGCAGCGACGCGCCCGACGGGCTCTCGCCCGCCGCCGGGTACTCGGCGGCCGCCGGGTGCGGGGCGTAGCCATAGGGCACCAGCGCGCACTCCTCCTGCAGCCCCGCCGCGAAGAAAGGCGCCTCGCTCTCCGCCGCGTCCAGCGGAGACGGGTCCGGCGTCGGCAGGCTGTAGCCGTCGAACGCGGCGCCCAGCGGCGGACAGTCCCGGTAGTGGCCCGCGCCCGCCGCCCCGTAGCCCTGCTCGGCGTAGGGCAGTCCCAGCCCCTCCACGCACATCCTGCCGCCGACGCTGCCGCCGCCGCCGCCACCCTCGCTGCCCAGCCCGGGCCCCGCCGCCGCCGCCGCCTCCGCCAGGCCGTGCTGCAGGAAGCCGCTCTCCACCCGCTTCAGGCGCTTCACCTGCTTCCGCCGCCGCGGCCGGTACTTGTAGTTGGGGTGGTCCTGCATGTGCTGCACCCGCAGCCGCTCCGCCTCCTCCACGAACGGCCGCTTCTCCGACAGCGACAGCGCCTTCCACGATTTACCTGCACCCACCAACACCGTCAGACCAGCCGCCCACCGAGGCGCCCCCGCGCCCGGCCCCGACACCTCCGCCGCCGCCCCCGCCCACATCCAGGATCCCGAACTCCTCCCGGGTGCCCGCTCCTCGCCTCGGACCCGCCACCTCGGCATCTGCCCCGCACCGGGACCCCCGGCCCGACAGCGCACGGGTCGCCCCATTCCCCGCCCGCAGCCCGGGCCCCGAGGTCCTCCCGGGCTCCTCTCTCTCGCGGATCCACCCGATGGGGCCGCGCTCCCGCCCGCCCGCCCGCGCTCACCCAGCATCTTGCTGAGCTCGGCGTTGTGCAGGTCCGGGTTCTGCTGCGCCAGCCGCTTGCGCTCGTCCTTCGCCCACACCATGAACGCGTTCATGGGGCGCCGGATCCGCGCCTCGCTCTTGCTCCGGCCGCCCGTCGCCCCCGACGGCGCCGCCTCGCCCTTCGCTTTCGCCTCGCCCAGCGGACTCAGCGACTCTGCCCACGGGCACATGGCCGGCATCATGATGGGCAGCGAGCACCGCCCCTGTGCCTGGTCGTCGCTGCTGGCGTAGCCCGCATCGGGGCTGCTCATCGCGGGACGGCCCCAGATGCGTCGTCAATCGCCGCCGCCGCCGAGGCCGAGAGCTCCGGCGGGGCCACAGGACGGACTCGGCACTCGGACCCCTCTCGCTGCTGTCGGGACTGGTGCCCGGCCCGGCCCTATTTGAGCTGCGGTGCGGCCAATGGGGCTGCGGGGGCGGGCGCGCAGCCGGACGGCGGCGGTGGCTCCCGCTGCGCTGCGGGGCGGCCCCTGGGGCTCCTTCTGGCGCGGCGGGGCCC